CATAAAAAGAACAAAAAAAAAAACAAAAAAAAAAAAAGACAAAAAAATAATAAAAAAAGGCAAAACAGAGACGAAAAAAAAAAGAAAATACAAAAAAAACAAAAGCCAAAAAAAAAAAAAAAACAAAAGAAAAAAAACAGCATAAAAAAAGTGACAAAAAACAAAAAAAAGAAAAAAACAAAAAAAAGGTGGAGCGGCGTCGTCCTTCTTGCCGCGTTGTCATTGCCAGGCGGCGTCGTCTTCTTAGTCAGCATTGCCCGTGGGGGGCGGCGTCTTCTTCTTAGCCACGTTGCCCGTGGCAGGCGGCGTCGTCTTCTTTGCCGCGTTGCCCTTGCCAGGCGGCGTCGTCTTCTTAGCAGCATTGCCCGTGGCAGGCGTGGGGGCCTTCACCGCCTCGGCGTTCTTTTTCCTCTTATCCATGGCCGCGACCATGGCCAGAGCCGCCTCCGTCGGGGTCTTCTTCAGAGAGCCTGCGGCGATGCCGACCTTCTCAGCCTTGGGTGGCGGCGTCACGGCGACGATGCCGAAGTCGGAGTCGGAGTCGAGCTCGATCGGCAGCTCATGCTTCTTCTGCTTCTTCGCCGCGCGGCTCTTGCTGATCGAGGCCGTCTGGGCGGCGGCGGTGCTCGATAACGGCTGACAGTCGGCGGGTTTGCCGCCATCGTGTGCCGCCAGTTGCTGCGTCGACGGCGCATCCGAACTCCCCGCCGCCATCGAAAGCTGGTGGTTCGAACCGGCTCGTTCTTGCAACGGCTCCTGCGGCTGCTGCGTCTGCGAGCGGTCGATCAGCTGGATGGCTGGGTTGGGCCAGCGGCCGCCGCTGCGCGAAAGCCCCACCTGAAATCAGGCGGATCACCGCCGAACGAAAATATTCCCCCCCCCCATCCCCCTAGGGGGATGGGGGGGGGGAATATTTCACAACACGCCCTCCATCCAGGCATCCAGAAACGTACCCCGCGCCGATCCAGGAACCCACCCCTCGACCCAATACCAGGTGTCCCGCGGGGGAATGCGTTCTGTTATTCCCCGTGGAGCCGTCGGCCAGCGCCCAGAGAACGAATCGGCCGCCGCGATGGGGAGGTGCTGCTGAGGATAGCCGCCGCCTGGGCCGTGGGATGGCTGCAGCCCGCCGCGGGCGGGCGCAGGCGCGGGCAGCGCGAGGTGGCCGCTCTTCTTCCCTGCACGGAGATTAATCAGCTTCGCAATCGTCACCATCTCGACGGGATTTATCTGCGGCGCCGTCGCTCCAACACCTGGCGGGAAGGCGTCGACGTACGTGATGGGGTTCTGAGACTGGAGCCTCCCAGGCGTGATGGGGAGAGCCTGGATGCCATCCCTGGGCGGCGGCATCGTCGCCACGAGATTCTTGAACGAGGATTTCACTGTGGCCAGATATGACTGCAACAGCTCCCTCGTGATCTCGCCCGTCTCCGCGCCTGTCTGCTTGCACACCAGCAACAAGAATGCTGCCATATTGGCGGCCGTCGGGCAGCTCGGATGCCTCAGGCCAAGCGCCCCGAGGTGCTCTGAGAACGCCGCCATCTTGGCAGTGAAGCCCGAATGCGGCGAGAGCGCGAACTCCCACAACTGAGGCGTCAGAAATTCAATGAACCCCTCGTAGTTCTGGAGCTTCCTCCCCTGCAGGCTGCCCGACGACAGAGCCTGCAAGAAGTCTCCCAGCTCGGACTGCGCTCACCCCACGCCGCCGCCCAAAGCAGCAAACTGCGCACTCTGGAGCTGCGACCAGCGCTGGGACGTCGCCGCCTGGATGCAGGCAGGAAGGTGCTCCGTCGCACTGCCGCGCGCTACGACCGCCGCCCGCGCCTCCTCCAGGCGGCCTCGAAGGATGCCCTCCATGGCAGCGATGCGGCGCGACCGCGCGCCGAGCGGAGTGCGCGACTCCCCGCGCGCGCACGCCGCCCGAAGCCCTCGGAGGAGGGCTCGCCAAAAACGGATCGAGCCAACGCGCGTGCGACGGACATATCCTACTCCTGCTCTTCCTGCTCCTCCTCCTCCTCCCCCTCCCCCTCCTCCTCCTCCTCCTCCTCCCCCTTCCTCCCCCTCCTCCCCCTCCTCCTCCTCCTCCTTCTCCTCTTCCTCCTCTCCCTCCTCCTCCTCCTCCTCCTGGGTGAGGGGGGGCGCAGGGGGGAGAGGGTGTCGAAGGGGGGGCGGGGGAGGGGGTGCCGAAGGGTGCGCGGGGGGGAAGAAGAGAGCTATGGGGGAAGGTGGGTCAAGGAGAGGCCAGGGAGGGGAGGGGGGAAAGGGGTGGGCGGCTTGCCGCCGAGGGGGTGGAAGGAGGCGGCAAAGCAAGCCGCCGATAGGGCGGTTGGGAAGAAGCGGTTTCCCGCCACGAGGAGGAGAAGGCGGTTTGCCGCCAGAGGAGGAGTAGGCGGTTTGCCCCCCGAAGGGGTAGGCGGTTTGCCGCCAGAGGAGGAGAAGGCGGTTTGCCGCCAGAAGGGGTAGGCGGTTTGCCGCCAAAGGAGGAGAAAGCGGTTTGCCGCCAGAAGGGCGGTTTGCCGCCACGGAGGGGGAGAAGGCGGATTGCCGCCATGGGGGGGGGAGAAGGCGGATTACCGCCGACGGAGGACGAGGCGACGGAGGAGAAGGCGGTGCGCCGCCTCAGGAAAGGGGGGATAAGGGAGGGCCGAAGACACATGGATAAACATTTTCCTCCTTCCCTCCCCCCTCCCCGCGGGCATGCGCGCAGCCCGCAGCGCCGCGGCCGCGAGGTACAGCAAGTACCTGCGGCGCCTCGGTCCTGAACAACTGAACAACAACAACAACGGAAATTCTATGTATTTCAAAAAAGTTAAGAATAAAAAATACGCAAATGATTAGCAACAACACGAATATGTTCAGCCCCATCGACTTAGCAGAGATATCTAACTTAGTATATTACTTACATCTACACTTACAAACACCATAAGTATTGCATATGCACGCATGAGATGCGCGATCAACAAGTGTACGTTCTATGGCTTAACTAAGATTATGTAAGATGAACGCTCTTACCGCACTTACAGCCACCCGACGATCAAAGTGGCCCTCGGCCCCCCCCCCCGTCGCCACGGCTGCACCCACAGACCCGGCGAACATGAATTGAGGGATTGGCAAGCGCGCAAACCAACCAAAGATATGTAAAAACAACCCAAATGTGACACAGCCTTCCTTTGGGGTCGGCGGCAGAGGCGGCAGCCTTTAAATAATACATATATATATAGGGCTATGGGGATAGATTTGTAGGGCTATAGGGCTACGTATTGGGCTATAGGGCACCCCCGGGCACCTCAGGGCACGCCCGGGCACCCGGGCACCCGGGCCCCCCCGGGCCCCCCCGGGCCCTCCCCGGGCACCCGGGCCCCGGGCACCCCCGGGCACCTGGGCACCCGGGCGTGCCGCGAAAATCGGCGACAAACCTAACCGAACCATATGAATCCGCTAGGACCCCTATAGAGACAAGCTCTGATGGAGAAAAAACCATATGCAACTGTATCTACAAACGTGTGCACGTAATCCCACGCACGATATATATATATATAGATATATATATATATATGATTATATATATATATATTATATCTACATTACATTTTTTTTTTACATTAATGTATATATACATATATGTAACAATATATATATACAGACAGATCTATATATATATATATATATACCCTGCCACACCTTTTTGCGTGCGGACACGCCAATGGTCAGAGTAGGCTAGACCCCCCGCAAACCCCCCAGCTACTGTACGCGCCGGGATGCAAGGGTACCCTACGCCACGCATTTCCTAGGCGGCAAGCACGCGGCGCCTACCGCGCCGCGCGCTTGCCACCTAAGGCGTGCGAGGTGGTCCTCCACCGTTCGCATACAGCAATCTGGGGAGGGGGCCTACGCTATCTTCTGGGCTACGGCACCAGCAGAAAGCGTGCCTCAACACGGAAGGGGTGGACCGCGGGTGGGAGCCCAAACAGGCTACGGACGTGCTGGTGCGGCGTGTCCTTGCCAAAGGGGGGAAGACGGGTATACGCATACAGGGGGCCAGTATACAGACATACCCTGCCCCACCTTTTTGCGTGCGGACACGCCAATGGTCAGAGTAGGCCAGCCACCCTCAAACCTCCCAGCTACTGTACGCGCCGGGATGCAAGGGTACCCTACGCCACGCATTACCTAGGCGGCAAGCACGCGGCGCCTACCGCACCGCGCGCTTGCCACCTAAGGCGTGCGAGGTGGTCCTCCACCGCTCGCATACAGCAATCTGGGGAGGGGGCCTACGCTATCTAACTCCCCCACCTACTGGCCTTAAGGCTACGTAGGCCGTCCGTGTTTAACTCCCCCCCCCCCTGAAAATGGCATATTTATGCCGGTCCTTAATTCGGGGGTGTGCGGGGGGGCAAACCACAGGACTGCCAGAGGGGGTCTGGACACGCTACCCGCGCCAGGCCACAGCCCTGACGCGGGGCAGGCACCGCACAGGGCGGCCCTGACGTGCCAGACATCCCCCAGCAGCCCCTTGGTTTGGCCCCCCTGCACACCCCCCCACTCCACGCCCTTCTCCAGCCCTTGCTCTCCGCACGGCACGGCAGCCTTTTCTGCGGTCCAAGGACCTTGAGGACGGCACCCAGGAGGGGGACAACACTCTGCAGCCGCCGGAGCGGCGCGGCAACGCCCAAAGGGCAGGCCGCGCAGAGTGTTACCCCCCCCTCTGGGCCCCGTTCTCACGGCCGCTGGGCCCCGAAAGGGTCGGCACAATCGAGGAGGAGGTGAAGGGGGGGAGGCGACGGGAGGAGGTGACACGATGCACGGAGGAGGTGAGACGGGCGTGGACCCCAAACAGAGAACGCCCCACACAACGGGCGGGCCCTGGGGCCCCAAGAAACCAGGACCCGGAGAGAGAGGGGGGGCCACGCGGCCCCACGGCGGGAGGGCGGTTGCCTTCGCCGCAGCGAAGACAAACGCCCGATTTTCGGCAAGCACTGTTGGGCGCGAGCAGTGGCCTTTTAAGTGGCCAGCTGCAGGAGCCGCAGTCCTCGCGCAACGGCGCGGGCTGCCTCGCTCCCGGGCTGGGCGCGCACTGAGTCGGCCACCGCGCCCTCGATGTACAGGCGCGCGGTGGCGGAGGAGGCCCACCGACCCGCCACGAGGGTCGCCTCCATGGAGCCGCTCCTGACGAAGAAGGCGCTCGCCCCGCCACGCCGCAGGCTGTGCCACGTGATGGGCCCCGCCAGGCCCAGGCCCCTCGCCAAGGCGCGGAGGGCACCACGCAGCTGGGACGGCGTCCTCCATGAGAGCCGCGCGCCTGCACCAAGGCCGCGGACTGCAATCCGCAGGAACGCCGCGGCCATCCTGCTGCGGATGACGACTGCCTCCGCGCAGTCCTTGCCAGCCGTGGTCTTGGACGAGCTGATCCGGACCACGAACAGCTCGCCGCGGTCGACGATGTCGCCCACCGTCAGGGCAAACACCTCCGCGCCTCGGAGCATGCCCTCGAAGCCGACGAGAAGGAGGGCGGCCACGTCGAAAGCGCCTGCAGCGCACGCGAACCCCGCCATGGCCGCGACGGCCTCGGTCGTGAGCGGCAGCACCCTGGACGCTGGCTCACGATGCCTCCATGCCTTGAGGAGAGTCCAGCTCAGGTCAAGGCGTCGCCTCAGACGAGGCGCCGCGAAGCACACCCCTGCCAGCGTGTTGTTGGCGGCCGCGATGCCCGCGCCAGAGGCCCACAGGCCCTCGAGGTACTCCGCGACGAGGGCGTCGGCGTCCTCGGGGTCGCCGCGCAAGGCGTCCGCCCCCGCCTGCTCGGCTCCGAAGTGGGCCAGCAGGGCCCGCAGGGCCCGCCCGTAGCGCCGCCGCGTCTCCGCCGACACCCTCAGGGAAGAGAGAGTCTGGCAGCGCGTCCCGCGGCGCCTCACGGGCGCGGGCCTGCGGTGAGCGGCCGCGCGCGCGGCGCGGGTCGCCCTCGCCTCCTGGGCTTCGAGCCGCGCCACAGCAGCCTCCTCGACGGCTCGTCCGCAGGGTTGTCCTCCGAGACCACGTAGCCGGTCAGTGGGTACATGTCGGCCGCCACGACGACGGCCATCCAGCGCTTCAGGATGGGCTGGAGCTTCCTGCTGCTGCTGCGGCCCTTCGTCACGATGGCCGCGACCACCTGGCTGTCGACGAGGTGCAAGATCCTGCCCCCGTGCTGCGCGACCTTGCGGGCGCGCCACCTGATCGCCGACGTGGCCGCCTGCAACTCTCTCACGTTTATGTGGGCGGAGCTCCGGCCGGGCCACGCCATGCTGACCACCACGCGCCACTTCCACACGAACGGGTCCAGGCTCGTCCTCGGCCAACCCCGCGGGCGGTAGGGGACGCCGTAGTCCATCCTGACGTCCGACCCGCCCTTCTCCGCGCGGCTGAGGTAGTGCAGGACCAGCTGCCTCGCCTCCGCGGTGTCCGGCTCCCCTGGCTCCGCGACGAAGGCCCCCGCCTGGTCCCACGTCGCTCGGCACTCGCGGACGGGGGGCACCTCTTCTATCGACAGATCCCTGTTCAGCGCGCCGCGGCGGTGCAGGAGCTGCTGGCACAACCATGCCACGACGTGAATACTGAAGCTGTTGCCGAGGAGGAAGGCCCCGGCGTCGGAGGCGCCCCGAGGGTTCGAGCCCTTGGTGGCTAGGGAGGTGTGCCCCACATCGAAGCCAAGGAGCCGCTCCCTCTCCTCGCTGGTGGGGAGGCGCAGGAAAGGGAACGAGGAGGTGCAGATCATGTTTTTGTCCTCGTACAAGGCCACATGATACCTGTGCCCGTCCGCAGCCCACCTTTGACGGGCCGCCTCCGATGCAGCCGCGAAGCCACGCGGGGCTGAGGGGAAGGAGGGCTGGGGCCTGCAGCAGACGAGCGTGGGGAAGCACCTCGGTCTCCCTGACCAAGAGCAGCCCTCGTCCTCCCACGCGAGGTCCATGAGCGGGACGCCAGGGCCCACGAGCTCGTCGTAGACCCCGCGGTCGGCCAGCCGAAGAGGCGCCGATGCGGTGACGCCCCAGCTCGTCCAGAACAGGCGCGGCCTGCGGCACGGCACGAACACCGACGAGCACACCAGCGTCGGCCTCACCCGCAGCGCCTCCGAGATCAGCTCCACGTTGACGTCGGACATGCTGGCCACGTTCTCCACGAACCAAACGAGCCTGTCCCTGAAGACGGCGGCGAGGACAGCCAGGATACGCGGCACCTCGTGGAACAGCGATGACTTCCTGCCGCTGAGGCCGCGCCCGCCGACGTTGAGGCGTGACAGGTCCTGGCAGGGGCTGCCCGCAGCGACCACCACCAGGTCGACGAGGCCGCCGAACGCCTCGAACAGGTCCCGCACCGTCTCGCTGCCCACGCGGGTGACGTCGCCCCAGTCGATGACACCTGGCCAGCGGAGCCTGACAACGCGCCTCGCCTTGGCGTCCGTCTCGGCCGCGACGCAGGCTGCGATGCGGACGGGCAGCCTCGAGAAGGCGACGGCGAGGCCTCCGATGCCGTCGAACAGGCCGATGAGCAGCACCGACAACACCCTGCGGACTGCCCTGGCGGGGACGCGTGGGTTGGCTGCCGCCCACGGTCGGGCGGGGTCCTCGGGCATGTTGAGGAGCCTGGCCCCCATCCCCAGCTGGTCGGGGACCGTCCTCGGCACCTGCACGGCGGCGGCGACATCCTCGCGCAGGCCGGCTGACGCGCACACGCCGCCGCCCATCTCCGACGCGTCCGAGGACGTGACCACGCCGTCGATGCGCGCCCGCAGCGAGGAGGCGGCCAGCGGCAGGACCATCACGCCCATGAGGAGCTCCTCCACCATCTCCGCGTCCAGGACAGCCCCCTGCGCTGAGGACGCAGCCAGCGTCCAGACGGAGTTCAGGACCCCGAAGAGCGGCCGCCTGAACTCGAAGGCCCTCACGAGCTTGCCGAGGGCCGCCATGGCAACGCGCCACGGGACCAGGCGCCGCTGCACCGCGGCCAAGCAGAGGCCCGCAGTGGCCAGCGCCTTGGAGGCGGGGACCGCGAGGCGCCCGCTGACGCCGTCGACGTCCGCGCCCATGCGCTCGACCCTCAGCTGCCTGCAGTGCGCCTTCTCGGCCGAGAAGGAGACGCTCGCCCTCTCGTAGCTGGCGCGGACCTGCAGCTGGAGGTCGCTCGGGGTCCCCACGAGCTTGCGGGCCAAAACCTCCTCGACGATCTCCGGCGCATCGAAGTCGTCGATGTAGACCTGCCACCAGCCAGCGTCCTGGCCGCTGCCTGCCTCGACCAGGGGCCGCGCGCAATCCTTGCGCCACTCCCCATCCGGGGGAAGCCCCGCCCCGAGGGGCGGCGCCAGGCGGCACAGCCGTCGGTGGATGTGCTGGAAAACGGGCACCGCGAGCGACCAGCCCATGGCGATGACAGCCGAGGTCACATAGACGACGGGCTCCGAGCGGCCAAACAGCTTGCCCGCGAGCGGCCGCCCCACGGCCATGTAGGGGTGCCACGCGGGCGGGGCCCGCCACGCGAAGAAGGCCCCCTTCTGGTCGTCGCCCGACCACAGCAGCAGCTCCCCCTCGGGGATCACGACCGACGTCCACGACGTCGAGGCCGCAAGCAGCGCCGCCTCGCCCACGTGGGCCTTCAGGAGCGAGTTGCCTGGCACCATGTTGAGGATGGGCCTGGTGACCCGCGTGGCGCCAGGCGCTGGAGTGCCCTTCTTCTCCACCGCGAACAGGCCGTTCAGCACGGGCTCGCCCCTCACGCGGACCAGCTCGCTCTCCGCGAGCGTGGTGAAGATGCCGAGCGACACGAGGTGCAGCGCCAGCTCCTCCCAGTCCGCCTCCGTCTCCACGTTCACGCGGGCCCGCGGCAGCGGGTCGGGCCAGTCGGACTGGTCGAGGAGCGCCAGCTCGGGGCGGCGCAGCCAGGCGCCGACCTCGTCGTCCACGAAGTCGACCGCGTCGAGCGTGGCAGCGCACTCCCGCGCGGGCAGGCCAGGGGCCAGCTCGCAGAGCCGGCAGGGGAGGGCCTTCACGCCCGACTCGCCCTCGTACGCTGACCCGCAGCCGCCCGCCAGCTCGTCGATCGCAGGGGCCGCGACCATGGCCAGCGGGTCCTCCGCCAGGGCCGCCGCACGGCTCTTCAAGTGCACGTAGACCTGCGTCTGCGCCTTCGACAGGGTCGGCCTGTGGCGCCAGCCTTCCTGCGCGCGGCCGCAGAACGCGTAGTTGAGCGCCACCGCGCTGAGGTGCAGCCACGCCTGCTCGCTGACCTCCCGCGCCACGGCGCGGCGGCGGCACTTGCGCGCCCTGGGCAAGGCACTGTGGGCCAGCCAGCGGTCCACCTCCTCGGTCGACGGAAGGGGAAGCGGCAGGGCGTCCCGAACCCTCCTGTTCGACGACCCTCCGCTCCCACAAAATGTCTCCGCACGCATGCTGAACGACCGAGCGAAGTTGCCAAGGCTGCCTGGGTGGCGTCGTACTGCTGCCACCAGCCGCGCCGCCAGGTCGACCGCGACGATGCTCTTGCCGAAGCCGAAGGAGAGCTCGTCGGACCAGCACTGCAGCGCGGTGGCCAGCGGGGGCTCCGCGACGCCCTCGCCCCCCCCGCATAGGGTGGCACGATCTCCGCCCTCGGTAAACCGAGTTTGGCCCGCGCCGCGGACTCCCCCACCAGCACCCCTCGCAGGGCTCGCGCCTTTGATGGAGGCATCGGCCACCCTCCCTGAGGAGGCCCCACCATAGCGCGGGGCAGGCGGCAGGCTGCCGCCGCTCAGGTCCGACGGGGGCGCGCCGCCGCACGAGCTTTGAAGGCTCGCAGGCGGTGCTGGGTGTTCGTCTCCCCCGGCTGCTTCGGGAACTTCTTCCGCATCTCCGCGAAGGACATCTTCCACGGCGGTGGGGCTGCCGACCCCTCGGCCCGCGGGGGAGGCCCGCCTGCGGCCGCCGCCAGGGGGGCTGGTGGAGCCGCCGCGGAAGCCTTCCTGCGGGGCGGCCGAGCCCGCGGCTGGCGGGGGGCCTGCCCCCCAGGTCCCTTTGCCTGCGCTGTCGCAGGGGGTGCCCCCCCTGCCTGGCCAACAGACGGAGGCGCCAGCGGCGGGCGCGCCCCCGTCGGGCCTCCGCCCTATCCCGGCGTCTTGGCGGAGGCCAGCCGCGCGGAGAGCTCGTCCAGCTTCATCTCGCCGAGCTGGATGCTGCGGATGAGCTCCTCCTCCTCGCTGCGGATGGCCGTGGGCTCGTCGAGCGGCGGGATCAGCTCCAACCACTTCGCCGCCGCCCACGAGCCGTCCGTCGTTGCCACCTGCAGCGCCTTCAGGCGCTGGACGATCAGGTCGCAGGCGTGGGCCGCCTTCCCCTGCATCAGCAGGTCCACCGCCTCCGCGAGGGTGCGGAGCTCGCGGTGCGTCTGCACGCCGATCTCCTTCACCGGATGCTGCGGCAGGTAGATCGCGAGGAGGTACCGCAGGGCGATCGGGCCCGTCGCGTCGACGGCCGCCCCCCCCTCCTGCGAGCCCAGGAAGTCCGCCATCTGCTGCAGGCTCAGCTCCGTGAGGCGGCCCGGGGAGGCGGCGGCCATCCGCCGACAGAAGGCCTTCTTCGTGGCCAGGTCGCACGGCGCCGCCGCGGGGTCCGAGCAGCCGAGGCCGCCCCCGCCGATGTCGCCAGGGGGGGCCTCCTTGCCCTCGCGGATGGCCATCGCGAGCGCCTGCGCCAGCTCCGCCATGCCGCCGCTCAGGCCAGCCCCTGGCGGCGCCCGCTCGGGCGCAGGGCCCCCCGACCCTCGGGGGGCCGCGTCCGAGGCGGCCCTCTTGAGCTTCGCGGCGCGCTCGACCAGCAGGTCCCCGAGCGACCGCTTCTTCACAGGCCCCTCGCCAGCCGCCTCTGCGCCGAGGGGGAAGCCGTCCAGGTTGACGTCTCCAGCAGCCCGCTTCCCCTCCTCGAAGCGCACGCGAGCCCCTGCGAGCTTGCCTCCCAGGCCGCCCACGGCAGCTGCCTCCTCGTCTGCGGCCAGCTCTGAGCCAGGGCCGCGCGACGAGCCTCCTACGCTCAGGAAGTCGTCGAAGGGGGCAGCGCCAGGCGGGGGCCTGGGAGGACCTGCTGCGGCTGGTGGGCGACCCGCCGCTTTGGCCACCGCAGCGGGCCTCGCGGGGGCGGCGGCGGCGACCAGAGGCCCGAGGCGTGCTGCTGGCCAAGCCGCCTCTGGGTTCGCCTCCTGGCACTCGACGAACAACGCCCGCAGGTCCGTGAGGCCGAGCTCTGCCCCGTCCGCCACGTGGATCAGCTCGGCGCACGTCCCCGGCCCCTCCACGACTGAGCACGGGTTCTCCGAGCACACGTGGATGAGCGGGCGCCCTGTCACCGCGCTCGGCTGCCCAGGGTGGCTGGCCCACCAGTCCCAGTAGCCGTCGTCGCTGAAGAGGAACTCGGCCTTCACGAAGCGCTGCGGCGGCTCCGCGCTGGAGACACGCAGCGCCCGCCACGCGAACCGGCACTGCTCGAGGCCGCCCGCTGTGTAGCCCGTGCTGCAGTAGCATTTGCCCTGGGCCACCGCCAGCGGGACGATCGGCACGGGCCCGTCCTCCACGGGCGCGGGCACGACGGCCTCCGGCGCCTCCCAGAGGTCCTCGTCTCCACCGTCGAGGTCCTCGACAGCCGCCTGGGCCATCCAGCCCCGCGCCTGCCAGGAGCCAGGCCAGCGACCCTCGCCTCCCAGCGCTGCCGCCAGGGGCGCGAGGAGGGCGGATGGCGGCCCTGGCAACAGACCTCGCGGCCACCGGGACAGCTCGTGGCCGTGACCCCGAAGAAATGCTTGGATCCTAGAGCCCAAACAGGCTACGGACGCGCTGGGGCGGCGCGTCCTGGTCAAAGGGGGGAAGACGGGTATACGCATACAGGGGGCCAGTATACAGACATACATGTGAACATGCGAATACACGGATGCAACTTTAGTCTGGCGAAAAACGAAAACAAATGCAATGGTGAATGCCGCAAATGTGGGCGTCGTTTTCCGTGGAGCTCCCTCTGGGGCCACGAAGCGCTGTACTGGACGAGGGAACCGCATGCGGACTGCGCCACTGGGACCTTCGGTGGAGTCGCTTCACTGTGCGGGTGAGACGCATGCGAACCGCGCCACTGGGGCCTTCGGTGGAGCTTCCTATGGGGCAACGAATCGTTGCACTGGGCGGGGGAAGCGCATGCGGGCTGCGCCGTTGGGACCTTCGGTGGGGTTCCCTCCGGGGCCACGAATCGCTGTACTGGGTGTGGTTCCCACACGCGAACTGCGCCACTGGGATCTTCGGTGGGGGCCCCTGTGCGGCCACGAAACGCTGTACTGGGCGGGTGGACCGCATGCGGACTACGCCACTGGGACGTTCGGTGGAGCTCCCTCTGGGGCCACGAATCGCTGTACTGGGTGTGGTTCCCGCGTGCGGACTGCACCAGTGGGACCTTCAGTGGAGTTCCCTCTCCCTCTGCGGCCACGAAGCGCTATAGTGGGTGGGGGAGACGCATGCGGACTGCGCCACTGGGACTTTCGGTGGAGCTCCCTCTGGGACCACGAAGCGCCGCACTGAGCGCTAGGGAGGAGGGAGGAGGAGAGGAGAGGGGAGCAGGACTTTAAAAGAGGCTGGGCAAAAGGTGAGAAATAGCAAGCGTTTGTCCGCGGCCGTTTGTCCTCAAGCGGCTGGCGGCCGACACATGCCTGCACCTCATCGCGAGGCGCACTATTCGCCATTGAGACCGAAAACATAGTCGCTTGACATGGCTCGTCGCTCCCTCGTCTCTCTCCTGCTCTTGGGGCGATCGCTACTACAAGATAACACCATTGGATACGGGTACCTCCTTAGGCGAAGCATCTGGTCGGGCCTCCCAGCCCCCTTCAAACTTGGTAGCGGAGCGGTCCTTTGGAGGACGCCCATCGCTCTGCTCCTCGCCATCCTCGGCACCATTTGGTGGACTACTGACATGGTGGAACATCCGGGCGCAGTGACTCTGCGCGGAAGAATGTACATATATACGCACAATCGCAAGGACAACTCGCAGTACAATCTCCGCTCACACGGAGGTATCCTGCATGAGTCCTACCTCCCCGCGGATACTACACTCCTGAAGTCCACCCACCTACTTCAATTGGCATTCTCCTCGAAGGTACGATGCATGGCAGCATGCGAGATGACATGCGCCGCCCCCGCCCCCGCGCGAGCTGACGGCAACGTCACCTCACAAACGACAGCCAGACACTACCGACTACGACATACGAGGCCCTTGGATTGGTATTACCAGATTTGGCCTTCTGTTGGTCGCTACTGGATGCGCTGTTGGACACATGCAGCGTGGTGGAGACGTCGCGCACACTGCCGGCCCCCACTGGGGCCCCGCCGGTAACGCACGCTTCGCGAATTCGCACGCGGGGTGCATGCCTGGATAAACGTGACCACAGGCACTATGACCCCCTCCCAACACGCTGCGGTTCTACAGCGTGACCTGAGAGACCTCGCGCGGACCATCGCCATGAGCGTTCCCCCCGCAAGAGTAACGTCGGTGCGAATATCGGTGGTCGCCAAACCGATGGCGTCACTTATACCATGTAATTCGAAAACCCAGAAGAGGAACGCCGACTCAACTCGGGACTAGCTTTCAATTACTTTCGCGTCCATGCGGGAGAACGGATTGACCAGACGTTGGCCCGTTTCGAAATAGCACGCTTTGAGGCCGACGCCACGGGCTCCAACATTGTTCAGAGCTCTGGGCGTTGGTACATCGCGTGCACAGCAATTACTACCACCATTGACCCACCCAATGTTGATCCACCAAATGCAACGGACTCAGCAGCAGTTCGACGCCTTATTAGAGCGCCTGAGGTCTCATGCCCATCTTGCTGAGCGAGCCCCCGGCAACGTCGGTGGTGCATGTAGCCGCAGCCATCGCGCCGACGTCTTTCATGGGCACACTCGCGCAGGGCAACCTGCCAACAGCGTCTGGAGGGATGATCCACAACCAACCGAGGCCATCACTTTATTAAGACAACAGGCTGGCCAGCCCACAGGGTCGCCACTACCCTCGCAGGCTCGGCGGGGCAAACCGCTGAGTCCGAATTGGACTCCGGCACCGACGCTGACATCTCATCAGATGAGGGAAAATGGTGACCTGGATTACTCTGACAGGCCTGTGTACCTCACTGAAGAGCAGCAGGCGCAACTGCTATTCCTAGGATACCAGAAACACGGAAACGCCGAGGGAGACGCTCTATGAAGAATGCAATTCGAATGGCACGACGTGCAGTCCGACCAGCGTTTAGGTCAAAGGGTAAGGGTAGAGATAAGGATAAACGAAGGAGATTACATGGCAGAGGTCTGCTGGCATTCTTGGAATCCCTTGCGGGACCACAACATGAAGATATGTTCCTGGGACATGTGGAGGTCGCGGGCGCACCTAAGGGACAGGTAAGGGACGCAGGGGTAACCCGAAGGATGCCAACGGGAAAACCATGGAATGTGATATGTGCCATAGCACACAACATTGTCGTCGTGAATGCCCCCAAGGCGATGGGGGAGGCAGGGGTCCGTCGTTCATTTGGCTCAAGCCGATTCCGACGGCCAGTATGTCGATCAGAAGACCTTTCTCGCCGAGTCCGAAGACAACCCCACAGCCGCTGTCCTTTTCATGGCTTCGAAATATCTGAGCGCCAGCGTGCCCATCGAGAGGTGTGCCGACGAGCTCTTCAAGGAAATTTGCGTTGGCCACGACGAGATCCACCTTGCAGAATGGCAACCTGCACATATACACATATAGAATTCATCGAAGATTACCACATGCCCGCCGACTTGGATCACGAGATCGGGGGGTCACCTGCAGACTCCGCTGGAACCACCCCAGCTACGGAGGAGG